CCTGCCCTCTTGTTCTTGTGCTCAGGCAACATCCTCCTAGGCCAGCCCCAGGTATGGCAGTGAAAAAAGGGGAGAGGCCTGTGTCTTTAGACTGCCCCATAAGTCTGTGACCCTTCTCTCAATTCTAGGGGTTGGTTAACCCCCAAACGGAGCTCCTCAGATTGACATCTCGGCAACAGAAACTGGATCAGCAGCTGTCAGACCTCACAGAACGAGTAGAAAGGGCCGGATACCAGGAGCAGGTCTCCCCAAAAGCCAAAGCAGTTCATCAGCAAAAGGTACCAACTGCTTATTACTGTTTGGGAGTGGGGATGGTTTCAGAGAGAGTCTGTGCCACTGTGGTTAAACTGCAGTGCTGCGTGCAAGACTCTGCTCACAAACCTGAGTTCGATCCCAGGCTTAGGTGGCTAGCTCGCGGTCGACTCAGCCTTCCATTCTTCCAAGGTCACTGGAGGGGTGGCAATGTGTAGCCTGCATAATTAAATCATAAACCGCCCAGAGAGAGCTTTAAGCACTATGGGGTGGTATATAAGCAGCACGCTTTGCTTGCTTTTGCTGTTTAGGTGCCACCAAATGCTGTAAGGATGTCTCGAAAATCTTTAGTAAAGCCAATATTATGCGTTTATAAATGTGGCAGGTCTTACACCTCGACACCTCGCAACTAGGAATTTCACTAATCAGTTGCACTAAAAGGAGCCTTGTGGCAGAGTGGTTAAACTGCAGTACTGCAGTCAAAACTCTGCTCATGACCTGAGTTTAATCCCAATGGGCTCGGATAGTCAGCTTGAGGTTGACTCAGCCTTCCTTCCGAGGTCTGCAAATTGAGTATCCAGCTTGCTGGGGTGGGTGAGCATGTCTGGCTTGCATAAATAAATTGTAAACCACCCAGAGAGAGCTTTAAGCACTATGGGATGGTATACAGTATAATCAACACACTGTGCTTTGCTTGAATCAATTGTCTCATTGGTCATGCATCCCCAGCACAACTGTTTGTGCCATGCGCAGGCAGCAGTGCTCCATGGATAGTACTTCTGCCACCCTGTTGGCACAACTATCCCAGGGTTTTTGCCCATTTATTCCATAATTCCAATCACCATCGTGACACTGCTTCACCTGCTTCACCTGTTCTTTTTTTTTCATCTAGATTTCCTGGCTTCGCTCAGAGTTGGATGCATCCCCAGCACAACTGTTTGTGCCATGCGCAGGCAGCAGTGCTCCATGGATAGTACTTCTGCCACCCTGTTGGCACAACTATCCCAGGGTTTTTGCCCATTTATTCCATAATTCCAATCACCATCGTGACACTGCTTCACCTGCTTCACCTGTTCTTTTTTTTTCATCTAGATTTCCTGGCTTCGCTCAGAGTTGGAACAGATCAGATAGGTCGTATCCACCTTCCAGAAGATGACTAGGCTATAAGGGTTGCCTCCTCGTAGGACTACATGATGAGATTTGGTGGAATTAACCTTGTACCCGATGGATGGATGAACGACAAGACGGAAAAGTGCCAACCCTGGGGAGGAAATTGGAAAGTTCTTGCAAGTCTGTGCTGCGAAACCTTTGTGACAGAATTCATGTCAGCCTCAGTGGACTTGCCTCTGTTGGGACCCTAGAGGCCAGCAGCTGAATCCCAGAAGCATCCCCGGGCTGATGTTAAGAGTTTTCCCAGAAGGGAAAGCTTGGAGATCTTATTCTGATGGCTGAAAGACTAGAAATCGTAGAACAAAAAAGACTATGCAAGGGGAGCTCCATATAGAAACACACACACACACACACACACACGCGATTTCATGTTGCATTGACAGAAAAGGCTACTCCAGTGGCTAAGGCAGGTGCCAGCTCTCTGCCTCAGCAGAACAGGTAAGGGAATTCTTGAACATGACATAGAGCTCCACTGAAGAACCTGGGTCTTTTATTATTATTTTTATTTTATTTTTTGCCATTCTTGTTTGATATCTTTCAACCAGATATGCCAAGGACCGGATGTAAAGATTGTTTTTTTCTGGCCAGTCTCTGTGAAAAGCTGATGGAGGGAACATACTGGTATCTCATGTGGAATTAATAGCTGCCATCACTTCCCGCTCTATATACCACAGATGATATTAAATTCTCTTGGGGTCTCTGTCATCTTACGTTGATCTAACAGTAAACAAAAGAAACTTTCAACAGGACCCCAAGCCTAGTAGCTGGCTTTCTCCCTTTCTTAGCTGGCCGGTTGTGGAAAGGAAGGCAGGAGAGACAAAAGAATCTCCTGTGGCCAATATATCAGGCAAAAACAAAAGAAATAAAAAATATTGTGTCCCCTTAAAGACTAACTGCTATATTTCAGTGTGAGCTTTCATGGACTTTCTCAGCCATAAGAATTTATCATTTAAAAATCTCTCGGTGCACCTGAGAAGGGAAGATATGGAGGCAGTGACAGATTTTACTTTCTTGGGCTCCATGATCATAAAGAAGGCTGACTGCCAAAGAATTGATGCCTTTGAATTGTGATGCTGGAGGAGACTCTTGAGAGTCCCCTGGACTGCAAGAAGAACAAACCTATCCATTTTCAAGGAAATCAACTCTGAGTGCTCACTGGAGGGACAGATCCTGAAATTAAGACTCTTTGCAGGGATAATGCACAAAAAGTGGCAAAAATCCAAAACAGTGCTGAATAAAATTCAAACTTCCTGGATCTACTGTGTTTGCTTTTACTTGGATCTCATGCTGCCAAACCAAGCATGGCCAGGTGTATCTCTCTCACTTAGACACGCTCTCTCTAGCTTAAAGAATGGGAGGCCTCTGAGTACATTCTGAGAACAAGAATTTGTTCTTAGTAGGAAGAGATTTTTCAGATTTATTATTTTTTCCCCACAAACCCCATATTTCCCCATTCTGGGGGGGGCTACCTGACAGACAGGCACCCAATTTTGGCACACCTGGAGGAAAAGGTCTAAACGAGGGCTTTGGGGCCTAGCTAGGCCTAGCTTCATGTTCAAAGGAATGTTCCCTTAAAGTCTGGTATAACCCAGCACGGAGAGGAGAGAGCGTTGGAATAGACAGCGGGTCCAAACCTTGGGTAACCCAGGAGTTCTTGGACTGCAGCTCCCAGAAACCCTGGGAGGTTCAGGGGTTAGCTTAGCTCACCTGACAGGACAACGGCTCCCATCATCTTCTGTCTCCATGGCCCATGATCTAGAACAGTGGTGTCAAACTGGCCCTCCAGATGTTCTTGGACTTCAACTCCCAGAAATCCTGGCCAGCAGAGGTGGTGCTGAAGGCTTCTGGGAGCTGTAGGCTAAGAACATCTGGAGGGCCACAGTTTGACACCACTGATCTAGAAGCACCATCTCAGGGAAATGGTCTCAGCTCAACACCAAAATATTGATGTGAAATGTTTCTCTGTATTAACTACAGAAAATATTTTATCACTAAACGGTATCTCTGTATAGGAAGGATCTCTGTGACCGAAGAGTCTCCCCCTTTGATCTGTTAGTTAATTGTTCTCAGCTTCCGAGTCTTTGAATCTTTGCTCCAGGTTTGCTGCTGTTCAGGCTGCTGTTTAAAAGCAACAGAACGAGTAATCCGGCTTTGTAGAATCTGGAATCCAGAAAACAACACTTTCAGACTCTGAACTTGAACCACAAGACAAAGTCTTAAAGGCAAGAATATTTTGAATAGCACTGCTCCCCGCCCCTTGTATACTGCTGTATTTAGCGTGGTATAGTGCCAGAAAGGGCTGGATGCCTTTCCTAGTTGCTTTCGCTGTCTGTCCGTAGCAGCAATCATGGCAGCTGCAAGCTCTGCCGGAGCGTGGCAGGAAGAGCTGTTCTGCCCCATTTGCCTGGACTATTTCACAGAGCCAGTGGTCTTGAACTGTGAACAGATTTATTGCAGAGCCTGCCTCAGTATGTACTGGGACAGCCCGGGGGACAGCTTCCCCTGCCCTCAGTGCCGAAGGAGATGCCAGGGAGGGACATTCAGGTCCAACATCCAGCTGGGGAGAGTGGCAGAATACCTCAGATCACATGCAGGATAGGCTATTATGGAAACTGTCATATTTTTAAAAGTTATTTTAAAAAGTTATTTTTATCATTACTGTGCAATCCCACCTCCTCTTCATAAGCTTTTCTAAATATTATTAATTGTTTCAGGTGTTCTTATTTTATTGTCCATTTATCCAGTGCTTGGTGACTTCTGCTGTACGTAGAAGTGGTCTACACATTGGAACCAATCAATAGTTGAATTCATACTATGCTTGTCAAAGTTAACAAAAGCAACAACGATGTGGCATCAAGTCAATTCTGATTTATGGCCACCCTTTCTAGGGTTTTCCAGGTAGAAAATACTCAGAAGTGGTTTAACATTCCCTTCTTCTATGGACACCTTGGGACTGTGCAGCTTGCCCAAGGCCACACAGGCTGGCTCTTCTCCCAAGAGGCACAGTGGCGAATTCAGCTCCCAACCTCCTAAACTACTGAGCAATCCAGACAATATCTTGTCAAAGTTAGGATAGTAATGTCTGCATGTAGTAAGGAGGAGAGGTTTTGCAAGCCGTGGGATTGCTAATGCCATCCATACACATGGGAACCTCTGCAAAGCTTTATCGGGATTAGCCATGTTGGTCTGCTGCAACATATACAATCAGCAGTCTTGTGGCATCTTAAAGATGATAGAATGGATCATTGAGTTCAATCTCCTGGTGAAGCAGGACGTCGTGGCTAAAATGGCCAACCAACCTCTGTTCAAAAATCTCCAGGGAATGAGGTTCTACCCGTTGGTTTTACAAGATTCAGGAAATGATGGCTGCGTGGAAGGGAGACAGGAGATGCCTGGCTTGAAAAGCTTTTAGCTTTATTAGAAGCAAGGATGTGAGATGAAAGGCTGTTTATTACACTTTGCTAGGTACGTTTCTCTCACTCTCCGTCACCACTTGTCGTTAGGCAGCAAAATCTCCATTTATAATGGGAACACTCCTCGGTGTCGCTGGAAACTATGCATCTTCCATCCCACAAAACAGTCCAATCTGGTCACAGAAATTCGCCATTAACAGGTGGTGGAGTTTCTGAGAAGCAGCTACAATGGATCCAGTTCTGGCTGCTATCTGGGAAGTAATCTTTGCGGCTCTCCTCTGCCTTGGAGAAGCAGGTAAGATTTCTGTGACTTTCAACAGATTTGGGGGAGGATCTGCCACCCTTCTGAGGCTGGACTCCAATCAGTTCTAGTTAGCAGAAATAACGCTTAAGACTGATAGGAGTCACTCTCTGGGAACACCTAAAATGAATCATGCTCCATACCACTGACCTATAGCCTAATTCTGTGCTGAGAAACGAGTCTCCTAGTTTGTCATCTCTAGTATACATTTTCCGTTTCATGTCTTTTCTGTATTTACCCAACTGATTTGATTTGGCTAATTCTTTTTGCTCAGGACTAAGGAAGTGCATCCAGCCTCTAGATAAATTTCTGATTGGCTGTCTGGTTCAGTTAAATTTCATCCTTCTTCCAAACTGTTACCTGTTTCCACCAAGTGAGCACAATTTACAGGCTTTAAGCTCTCATAAAGTCTCATGGCATGTATTCCCCAAGTTGTTACTATGGTACAATTCAGTCCAGAAGTCCATACATACACACACACCCAAATTTGTCCTAATATTATAGTTAAAAAAACAACAACGTATAACCACTTGCCATCTCTTATAGGTCCCATAATGGCTGGAGGAACTCCTAAGATACAGCCAAAAATATCACAGCTAAGGATTTTTGAAATGAAGATAATCCCCCCAGCCAGTGCTGATGAAGAGGCTTCTACAAACCTCAGAACCACACCATGCACCAATTCTAAGGAATATACAATCGCATTCACTGCAACAATTACAACACCTGATGAAGCTTCTCACACACCTATAGCTACTGTTAAAATATGTTCCACCATTACTCTTAAAGTCACCATTGGTGATGCTCCGTCCGCCACTGGACTGGAAGGTCCTGTTTCAGGAGATGCTCCTGCCACCTTCACAACCAGTCCTGGTGTTCCATCAAATGCTTACGAAGATGTGAGTAAAAATGCTGTCCAACGTATTATGGACACTGTTTCTGCAAAGACTCATTCTGCTATGTCCTCAGCTACAGTGGGTCCTGAGGGTGTGACGACTCAAAACAAATTCTCGGCTACTGAAGCAGAAAGAGATTCCAGCTTTCTTCAGGAACTCTACTCTGACACAGAGGATGCCAGCTTGACAGCAAAACCACAAAACGTCATCCTTCCAACAGAAAATACGACTGGCAGCACCGGAGGAAACATATACCCTTCAGTCTATGAAGATACTTCCACCCAAGCTATGGCGACGAATTTTCAAAATGCTACTTCCCCGCCTAAAGAGTCTTTTGGAGATGCTCAAGGTAACGAGCCACCAAGTGCCCAGGTCCGTTCACTCTGGGGGCAGAAGTCTCATGTATCCCCTGGCAACGAAAATGTAAGAGATGGAGGCAGTTGTAAAGGAGAATTGGCAGACAGACTAAGAGGTCCCTTCTCACCCTTGTTGATTCTCCTTCACAAAAGCATTTATTCTGAGGAGATCTCACCCTTCCCAGGTTAAGCTGTGTTATCTACTCATAACTTGAGGGGTAAGCAGAAAAACAGTTTGGCTGAGCATGAGGGGTGTTACGCAGCTATCTTCCCAACCCAACTCTGCCTTTCTCTCCTCCATTTCTTTTTTAAAATGGTATTTCCAGGAAGCCCACAAGTTGAATCTGCGAGCAATATAAACTTTGCAGCAATCAGCTTTCAGAAGCACACAGCCTCTGGTGCTGGACCAAAAACAGTACTCAAAGCTCTTGAAAACTAGAGAACGTTCAGCAAAGCCAAAACATTGTTGTGTATCAGTAATGTGGCTCTTCTTTTGTAATTCCTCCCCCTGCCTTGGAAATGAGAATATTCCTGTTCAATCATTCCTTATGTTTCCTTAATCTTGTTATTTTCAGGAAATTCTAAGAACGTTCAGCAAAGCCAAAAACATTGTTGTGTGTCAGTAATGTGGCTCTCCTTTTATAGAATTCCTCCCCCTGCCTTGGAAATGAGGTTATTCCTGTTCAATCATTCCTTATGTGTCCTTAATCTTGTTATTTTCAGGAAATTCTGCAACCTGCTCTTCTGACTGTGATGCTTTCCCGGCATGGGCTACTGCCCTTCTGTGCATGGCAACAGCTTTTATAGTTTTCATGCTGGTTGGACTCCTGTTTTTGGTAAGTATTAGAAGGGGAGGAGCATGTCATGGATAGAGTGGCAGACTAGGACTCCGAAAACCTGAGTCTGAATTCCTGCTCAGCAATGGAAATTCTTGGAGGAGTGGATA